TTGCATTGCTTTGCATTGCGTTGCCTTGTATTGTTGTGCTTTCTATTGCTTTGCATTGCTTTGCGCCAAAGACATTGCACAACATGTTTTGCACCACCCAGATTGCACCACAATGATTGCATCACCCACATTGCACCACATAGATTGTAAGAACCCACTGTGTCGGGCCCGGGCAGGCGCGTTGAAAGGATCTCGAATCAATAGTTTTGACAGGATCTCGACACGCTCGCGTGGCGGCGCGCGCCTGGCCTGCATGGAATTATGTGATACGGACTCGTGTACTGGGCCGGTGCTGGATCAACGCGGACGCACCGCGTGGTGGGATGAGAATGCGGATTCTAGGCGAAACTGCTAAAACTAAGTGACTCCCATATAACTTCAGAAAATGCTGCAAAATGTGTGATGCAACATCTGGCGGTATGTGATGATTCAATATTGAAGCTGTTGCGAACCATGTGCCGTCTATGGTTTTGGCGTGTGCGCGCGCGTGGGCTTCGTGTAGTTCCTTGAACGGTGTTTGCTGGGGTAAACAATTTGATATAAACGAGTGTGCGCACATAGGACGAGTGGAGGTGAGTACCCGGCATGCCTGGGATGGCACGAGTAGTTCACGTGGGATATGCATGATGCGGCAGGATCATCCCGTGCAAATCGCATTGCCCCAGGGGGACCCGATGCGTCCAGGCTCGGGAGAGGATCGGATCCTATTACGTTCGAAAGCAAGGAATGCCTACGTGGGCGCACGGTGCGCCAGGCGAAACCTCTGCATCCCCCCCCCACCATCCCCCCAGCGCGGGGCGCCAAAATAGGTGACAGCGGGCGGGCTCCAGGCGAAACTTTGGTAGATCCCCACAACGTGTGACACCCACGAGGCGCGTGGGCGGGCACCAGGGGAAACCTCCGCATGTCCCCCAACGCGGGGCGCCCATGAGGCGCCCATGGACGCCCACCTACTGGGCAGCAGCCGAAACCGTTTAAATACACATCACATTACTTCGTAAATTAGACAATTAAGAACCCCTGCGTGCAAGCATTGTTTCGGGAACATGTTTACTTGAGGCCTGGAGAGAGGACTCCAGTCGAGAAGGAACTTGCCATTCGAAGGCTCGATTGCCGAATTCAATCATGCCGCATGTCGGAGGTGAAATGAAATCCCCATCGTTGTCACAACCAGTGGTCAACCAGAGCTCCAAGGGACAGACAATTCTGCCAAGTCTCTGGCGGCCTGAATGCACGTAGCGCTTCGTCTTGTTGCGGCTAGGCAATGACAAAACCAGCAAATCCCTAGCTGGCAGCACCGAACTAAGGGAAATCACATAATGCTGTAGTTACAGAAGTCTTGCAGGCGACTCAATGTGTCATGCAGCGACTACGATGGTGCAGTATGAGGTTCAAGGGTCTAATTTTCCTCCTGCGTTTTGCAACATCTCATTATCACATGTGCTGCCGTCTCTATCTCTCTCTGTCTCTCTTTCTCCCTTTCTATCTCTCTCTCTCTCTCTCTACTGGTCTTTCTCCCACTTTTCCTCTGAGGCTCTGCGAGAAGCCACTCTGAGAAGACCTATATGAAAGTCTCCTCTCCAAGAGGCTCCATTCAAGTAGGCCCCTTGCAGAGAAGCTCTTCTCAGAGGCCCCACCTCAGAGACGCCCCCTGGATCATTCCAGAATCCCTCTAGGCGGTCCAGACCGCTCTACACATTCGAAAATACCGCGGTGCCGTTTAGCGCCTTTGACAGCACTCGAACCTTCTAAATCATTACAGAGCTTCCTAGAGCCCGCTGCAGCATTCTCCAGCTCTCTCTGGGGGTGGGGGGCTCTAGAACTTAGAGCATTCTAGAGCCCCGCGAAAGCATCCAAAGCCCCGCGAAAGCATCCTAAAACACTTCGGGGCGCCCCCAAGCAGTCTTGCACCCGATGGACCGCTCCAGATCTAAACCACTCCTCCGCCCCCACCTAGGCGGCTGTTGGAATGCTCTGAGGCCGCCTTCCAGCCTTCACACCACTTTCGAAACCAATCGAGCCCTCTGATGCCCATCCTACGCCTTCTTTCCATTATTTATAGAATCCCCGTTGGGGGCTTTTACTTTCTCTGTCGTCTTCGAAGCTTTCCAAAACCACCTAGAACCATCGAGGGCACTCGAGTGCCGTTGCAATCCATCCAAAGCCTTCGAGAGCATTATACAATCCTCTTGAGCCGTCCTGAACAGTCTAGGAGCCCTCTGTCCTGAACCCTCTAGACTTTCGACATTCGTCGGCGCCCTTCAAGGCCCCCAGGAACACCCGAGCCTTCCTGATGCAAAGCTCTATAAACCCCCATACAACATTCTGGAAGTTCCAGGGGGCCGCTACGAAGGCCCCTCGCAGGGAGGCTCTTCTCAGAGGGCCCACCTCCGAAAAGGCCCTTCACAGTGGAGCTGCTGCCCACAAAGATTTTCTGCATCACCCCTCCAGGCCTTGTAGAACCAGCCTGGCGCCCTCGAGAACACTTGGACCTTCTAGAGCGCCTTTAAACTCTCAAGGACCCTCTACAGCATTATACGTTCTTTGGGGGCACTATACTTCTATCGACGGGGACACCCTAGAGCCACGCAGCAATATCTTAGAACACGTGCTGGAGCGCCCCAACTCAGTCTCTGACCCGGTGGAACATTCCACTCTAACCCATTGTTCTTCCCGCCGGGAGCATCTTAGAGCCGTCTAGGGCCCTCTCCAGCCTTCTGGAACATCCTCGATCCACAAGAGCCCCCTGGTGCCCACCCCCCGAGATCATGTTCTCGAGACTTCTACAGCCATCGACAACCCTCTATGCAAGTTTATAATGTTTAGGGGCCCCTCTTCTTTGGCGTCGCGCAACCACGGGCCTGGAAGTGCGCGGCTCACGCACGCTCGAGGATGCGGCCTCATGGGGGGCTTGCCAAGAGCAAGCAGTCCGCGAGCACTCGCCTTTCCTCGGCCACCAGACGCGGGCAGCGAGTTCCTGACCCCCTGCCTGCACGGGGGCCAGGAAAGCCGCCGAGACCACTCGCGGATTGCCGGGGGCCCCACAAACACCAGGAACACGGATTGCCGTGTTCAGCCCCCAAAGCCAATCCAGAGGACCTGACATAAAAGTGGCAGCCAGGGGGCGGTTGGAGGGCCGCTTGAGCCGCGCACCTTGGAGCTTTTTTTTTATATATTTCTTAACTCCAATAACAAATTTCTGACCGCCTGGCGAGCAAAAAAAAAACGCTTGAAACAAAACTCTGAAACTCTAAATGCAAACGCCGGCTTGGATTTCGAAATGGTCGCAGATTTCGGTTTGGGTTTGTTTGGAAGTCTTTTTTTAAGATGAAAGGCTTGCGATGATCGCTGGTTTGGGCATCGAGATTTTGCTTGATCTTTCTAGAGTTGGACATGTCTGGAGTTTTTAGCTGAGAGACTTGTTGAAGTCTTCCTTGTTTATAAAAAGGAGATGCTCGCAGGTTTTGGCCTAGAGAGTTTGTCGAAACTGTCGGGGCGGTTGAGTTTCCTGCTGAAGAAAAATGTTCCAAAGATGTCGGCTGGATTTCTCGATGGACCTCCTGTAGTATCATTGCCGAACCACTCAAGTCTCACTTGGACCCGTGTCGGTGCCATTTCTTGGAAAGAAACTCCCGAGGCGGCCGGGCACTGGATTCAGCTTCGCGCTAATGTAACCCACGCCAGCGCGCAGATCTGAGCTCGCGAGGATAGCTGCACGCTGACGCGCCAACCCGCGCAGCTTCCCAAAATATGTCCGACCTCGAGTCAAGATCGAAGCTAATATCTGAGAGCCGACCAGGTGCAGCGCTTCAACGCCCCTGAGTGATGACGCGCGAGCCCTGCGCCGCAGGGGGGTGTTCACCGCCTTCAACTCGAGAGCGCCGACGTGCAGGTCGCGAACCGTCCCCGGCCAGGCAAATGACAGAGTCGGTCGCCAGCGCTTCAAACCTGGATCAATGGGCGACCTTGGCCAGGCCTTCGGCCGGAAGGTCACGCCGATGACCGAACTGATATCACTACCAACCTTCTTCGCGATCGTCCAAGAGATCCGCGCTAACTTCTGGCCCGGCGGAGACTCTCGGATTGTGCCCTTTGAAATCTCGACGGGCTCGCCCAGCAGATGTTTCACTTCAAGGCTCTGCGCGACGCCGCGGAGGCTCGCGCTGCCGACTGGAGTCTCAGCCCCAGAAACGGCCACCCAAGCTCCAGACACCGCCAGCCCACGGCGCAGCAGGCGAATGCGTTCCCATGGAGGCATCAGCGATCGGTCTCGACGCTGTCGCGGGCTGCAGCCCGAGCCAGCTACGGGCGAGGCGTAGTGCTTGGGGGACCCCATCAGGACCTCTCGCTGCGTAGCACACAATGGCCTCGCACCCCCCTGGAGCCCCAGATCATTTGCACGAGCTCAAGCTGATAAAGAGGATATGCGCGACGATCCTGGTCCCACCTCTGGATGGCCTCCGAACTCGGTGTAGCTAGACTCGCGGGCTTGCACGGGGCCGTCTTCTCACGCCGTAATTAGGAGAGACGTGCAGGCGGGGCCCTCTGCCGAGGCCCTGGGGCACCCATAGGACGCCCAAGACCCCGTGGGATTCAATGGGGCCTTGACAGCCGCGATGAAGTCGCAGTTGGCCATAGCCTCCAAGAGAACCCCTGGAAGCCTGAAGATCGCCTCCCTCCAAGAACGCCAGTGCAGACGCGGGCGGCAGTTCTCTGCGAACGAGGAGTTGCAGACGCTGACAGGCCTAACCCGGAGGACGCGGGAGAACACCAGGAGGGGCCCTGTTCTCATGGAGAGAACGTTTTCCACTATCCCATGCACGGGCGCATGCATTGTTCGGCCAGGGGCGCGCGGCACGCGTGGGATCCACGCGAACAGGCCGCTCCGAGCGCCATGCGCGCCATGCCGGTCAGCGTTCGCGCCGCTGACATCCTGGGAAGGACTCCCTCCTGCAGCGACCACGGCCACCACTCGATCATGGAACGAACATAGTCAAGGCCTCCAGCTGCTCGTCGCGAATTTCCCCCACGTGGCCGAACTCGATCAGCCCCGGCCAGCGAGACCCTAGGACTCGCCGGGCCCCCTCGTCGACCTCGCTGCCCAGGTGGCCGCCGACGACGAAGCCAGCGCGGACCGGCGACGCAGCCGCGCCCCCTATCCCGTCGAACAGGCTGACCAACAGAATGCGCGGCTCGTCCTTCGCGGTCCCGGGCTTGAGGTCCCGGGGCAGCTCGACGACGCGCCTGCCCGAATAGCCCGCGACGCGGTGGCCCCGCGTCTCGGGGTCGCCCAGGTTCGCCAGGAAGTCGGAAGCCCCTTTCAGCCACTCCCATGGTCGCGCACATGCCAGCGCCGTCCTCGCTCGCATAAGAGCACGACGCGATGCCCATCGCCACCGCCCTGAGGTTGGCGGGTGCGAGGGGCAGCAGCAGGTAGCCACGCGCCAACTCGCCAAGGCTGTCTCAGGCGACTTCCCTGTGCCGATCTGCTCCCAGATCGCGTTAAACACCCCGAGGAGCGGCCTTCGGAACTCCAGCGGTCGCACCCAGCGGCCCACGATGATCAAAAGTTGGTTCCCCAGAGAACGGTCGCGGACCAGGGGCCGCATGGTGAGGACATGCAGCTGGGCGTTATTCGTCCTGATGTTGGCGGCCCTACCTGCGACCCCGCCAACCTCGACGCCCGTGCGAGTGACCAGGACCTGCCTCTGGTTCGCCCTGTTCCTACTGATGGGGATGCCGTTCTTCTCGTAGCTCTGCCTCATGTGCGTCTGCATCCCGGCCTGGTGCCCCTACGCATGGAACCGCCTCCCGCCAGTCGAGCGCCCCGCCGCGATCGAAGTCGCCGATGTAAGTACCCCACCAATCACGGGGGCCATCGCGCGCTAGCGGAGCGGCAACCGCGGCGGGGATATGTCGGCCCCGTCTCCACTCGCGCGCGGGAGGCAGACAGGCCCCGCCCGGCTCCTCCAACAGCGCCACGCGCCGATGGATACTCTGGAAGATCGGGGCGCTGTACACCCAGCCCATGGGCAAGGCAGTCATGGCGTGCCAGACCTCCTTCGCAGCTGCCCCCAGGACGCGGCCAGGCGCGGGCGCGCGCGAAGCCGCGTTGCCCAGCCAAGGAGCGGGCAGACGGCACATGGAAAAGGCGCCCGCCTGGTCATCTCCGCTCCAGGGATGGATCTCCGGAGGCCCCGGCGAGATGCTGACCCGCGCAGGCGATGGGGCGAGCGCAATAGCATCCCCAGCCAGGGGGCGGAGGTGCGCGCTCGCGTGCGCCACGTAGAAGATCGGCGGAGTGACTCTAGACGCCCCTTCTGCCGAGGTACCAGACTTGGCGACTGCAAGCAGGCCGTCGGTCACCGCGCGGCCCTGGACCTGGAAGAATCTGCTCCGACGGGATGGGCGTCAGCAGGCCGGCCAGCTTGGCCGCGATGACTAACCAGTCCTCCAACCGCTCAACGTTGACAGTTGCTCTGGGCGGAGCCGCAGGCCACTCCGACCCCGGCGGCGGCGACAGAGCAGGCTTGGTGAGCAGCCCCTGCGTGTCGGGCCCGAAGTAGCCCAGGACATCCAAGCGGCCAATGTCCTCAGCCTTGGGGGGGGGGGGGCGAGGCCCTGAAGTTGAGCGCCAGCGTCCTGCGTCCTCGCCCAAGTTGTAGCTCGCCCTGCTCTTCATCAGGCCATGCGGCCAGTAGGGCATCTTCACCTTAGCCAGCGCGTCGCCCGCGCGCCGCCTGGCCGCCTCACCGATCGCGCGCAAGCTTGCCAGCTGGATCTGAAAGACTGGGCCTGCAGCTCCCCGGCGCCCCTTGCGCAGGCGCACCACGCGCGTGCAGTTCGAGCCCGTGGCGCTGAGGAAGGTCCAGACTTCCACGGCGATGTCATGGGCCTGCTGCTTCTGTTTGGCGGACCAGTTCATGACGTTGACGGGAGGCCCTCACCATTCAACAAACCTTCCCATATCATCTCCTGTTCCCAAGCGAAACGCAATGCCGGCGCCCTTACTGGCAGAGGAAGCGCGTCTCGTCCAACGCCAGCCTCCGGCGACTGTGGCGCGACGCCTGTAGGGAACACTCTCAAGGACTCTCTAATCTCGCCGAATACCTTTCGCGCACTGGCGAGGGGCCCCAAGCCAGTCTCAAGCGTCGCCATCTCGCAGGGCCCGCTCCTGCACATGCGGGAGGCAGCGCTAGCCTTCCACTGGTTCAGTGCCGGGGTGGCAACCGTGTCGATCCTGGCCGCTCCCTCCTCCCTGGTCAGGCTGGCTTCGCGACCCGCCTCGGCGCGCCGCCTGGCTGGGCCGCGCACTGGGCGGGCGCTCGGCGCTCGAAGAAATGCCGGGCGATCTTCTCATTCAGCTGTCTCTCGGATTCCCCTTCGGCCCGCGGCGTGCTCGCGCGCGCCGCCGCCAGCGCTGACGGGGGTGCTCCGTCTACCGCCCGGGGGCGCGGGCGGTCTGTCAGCGCGGGCAAGCCCCCCCCCCGGCGCTGGTGCTTCTGGAGCAGGCCGCGCAGGAGACTGGCGGCCAGGGGGCGGACGAAGGCCCAGTTACTCGGGCGCGCAGAGCAGCAGCGGCATCTGCGCGGGCGCCGACGCCGGTGATCGGCAGAACTCGGGGGCCTGGGCTCCCGCCGCGGCGCTGGCCATCGGAACGGGCGCGCGAGCTGGCGCCCCCCTCCCGGCCAGACCCCTAGCCGCGGGCCCCTAGCTGGTCCAGAAGCTGGGCCATGTGGACCTCGGCCGCCTGGATGCCAGCCCCGACCTCCTCGTCTTCGACCGACGGGCTCAGGCCGCCGTTGTCGGGCGGGGTCAGCTCGAACCAGTTCGCCGCGCGTGGGTGGCCATCTCGAGGTCTTCTGCAGCGCCCTTATCCTGCAGAAGATGCAATCAAGCGCGTGGACCAGTTCCCCCGTCACAATAACACCAGCGCGCTCGCGCGACGTCCGCAGCTCACGATGACGATCTTCTCCGATCTCCCGGATAGGATGCGCTGGCCGCAACGCGCGAAGAAGAAACTTCACCGCCACTGTCTTGAACTGGTTTGAACCGGAGTCGTCGAGATCCTAATGCTGGGCCATGTTCTCCATATCCTTCTCCGCCAGGCGGCCAGACGACTTGATGGCTATCCTCGTGTAGGCAAGCCGCCGTGCCGCAATGGGGTGCTCGCCTGATCATCATCACTCTCGAGAAGATCACCGTCCTCCTTCTTGCGCAAGTATCCCGCCAACGCTCGTAGGACAGCCTTCTCGTCCGAGTTGCCAGCCCGGTCGCCCCCTCGAGCCCTGTCCGCGGAGCTGCTTGGCGCCTGGCCCGCGATGCGCGCCTGGGCCACCTCGCCGAGCTTCAGCCGTTTCTTGTCCAGGGGTTGCGCCGACGAGTCCGAGAGCGGGCGTGCGCCAGGAGGAGCGCCAGCCAGCTTGCGCGTCTCCGCAAGCTTCGCCCGCAGCCTGCCGAGACGCTCCTTGTAGCTGTCCTCCCCCTCCGCCTTCCTGTCCTGGGCCTTGCCCTCGAATGCCTGGACCTCGCGCTCCAGCTCCTCGAAGGCCGCGTCGTCGTCCTCGTCATTATCGCCTATCTCGACAGGGCGCTTTCGCGCGGGCACCCATCTCAGCCTTGTGGCTGGCAAGGGACACATGGGAGAGCGATTGCGATCCGCTCCTCGCCGAGAGCTGCCCGTGTGACATCAGGTGGGATGGCGGGGCGCTCTTCATTCTCGCGGAGCATCTCCATGTCACTCTGCTGCCTCGTCACGCACGGACCGCGGACCTCTGCGCGCACACTGCGACACGCGCCCCGAAGTATTCCACCTCGTACGTGGTGCCTCCTTCGTTCTCTGTGACCAGCCGCCGCACAACCCCGAGCGCAGGGCCGCCGTCGCCCCCCTCCTCGTGGAGCACCCGATGGCGGAAGCAGCGGCCGGGCTCCATGGGCCCCTGGAGTCTGAGGCTGGCCTGCCTGGACACCGGGCGAGGATCACAGAGATGGAATGGTGTGCGGCTCGCAGGCTTCAAGCTCTCTCGCCCAACGCCAGCCTCTCCTGGGGCAACATCCGCTTGAGCCGCACACCTACGGAACAAGACGGCGGCGCACAGCCCAACAGGCCCAAACATACCCTCACCCCCTCAGGTGTTGTATCACAACCCTTGTGAAGCACACTAGAACACTTGAAAACCTTCTAGAACCACCTAAAGCCCTCGAGGGCCCTCGAAGGCCCTCAGAATCTGCCCAGGGCCTGCTAAAGCGTCTTGCGACCCCCTGATGCCTCAAGATCATCCTGAAGCCCTCTAGAGTTGCCTTGACCCCTCTACACAATCGATACGAGTGTGGTGTTCACCAAGGACCTCCAGGGTACCCGAGCCTTCCTGAACGTTCTAGAACTCCCTGAAAAAATTAGCCTGGCGAAGAACCCAACCATATGCAGTTGTCAGTACCGCAGCTGCGGGTTTCATCTTCAATGGAACTCCCCATAGGATTACGGAACGTGTGAGGGGTGTGCCGAGATGGGTGCCACTGGGGCATTCGGCGAAGCTCCCTATGGGGACATGAAACACGCGCGGGGCGTGCCGACATGGGTGGCGGAAACGCATGTGCGGGCCGCCACTGGGGCCTCCAGTGGAGCTCCCTATGGGTCCCCGAAACATGATGCTGCTGCGGGGGGGGTGGGCGGGATGGGTGGCGGAGACGCATGTAAGCGCCGCTACTGGGGCCTTCGGTGGAGCTCCCTATGGGGCCACGAAGCGCGTGAGGGGTGTACTGGGATGTGTGGCGGGGACGCATGTGAGCGCCGCCGCTGGGGCCTTCGGTGCAGCTCTCTATGGGGCCACGAAACGTGTGAGGGGTGTGCCGAATTGGGTGCGGGTGGTGACGCATGCGGGCGGCAGCACTGGGGCCTTCGGTGGAGCTCCCCATGGGGCCACGAAACCTGTTGTTGTGAGGGGCGTGCCGGGATGGGTGGCGGGGACGCATGTGAGCGCGGCCGCTGGGGCCTTCGGTGGAGCTCCCTATGGGGCCACGAAACGTGTGAGGGGTGTGCCGAATTGGGTGGGTGTGGGTGACGCATGTGAGCGCCGCCACTGGGGCCTCCGGTGGATGATGGGGCCACGAAACCTGTCAGGGATGTGCCGAAATGGGTGTGCGGGACGCATGCGCATGTGAGCGCCGCCACTGGGGCCTTCGGTGGAGCTCCCTATGGGGCCACGAAACGTGTGAGGGGTGTGCCGAAATGGGTGTGGGTGACGCATGCGGGCGCGGGCACTGGGGCCTTCGGTGGAGCTCCCTATGGGGCCACGAAACGTGTGAGGGGTGTGCCGAAATGGGTGTGGGTGACGCATGTGGGCGCGGGCACTGGGGCCTTCGGTGGAGCTCCCTATGGAGCCACGAAACGTGTGAGGGGTGTGCCGAAATGGGTGTGGGTGACGCATGCGGGCGCGGGCACTGGGGCCTTCGGTGGAGCTCCCTATGCAGCCACGAAACGTGTGAGGGGTGTGCCGAAATGGGTGTGGGTGACGCATGCGGGCGCGGGCACTGGGGCCTTCGGTGGAGCTCCCTATGGAGCCACGAAACGTGTGAGGGGTGTGCCGAAATGGGTGTGGGTGACGCATGCGGGCGCGGGCACTGGGGCCTTCGGTGGAGCTCCCTATGGAGCCACGAAACGTGTGAGGGGTGTGCCGAAATGGGTGTGGGTGACGCATGCGGGCGCGGGCACTGGGGCCTTCGGTGGAGCTCCCTATGGAGCCACGAAACGTGTGAGGGGTGTGCCGAAATGGGTGTGGGTGACGCATGCGGGCGCGGGCACTGGGGCCTTCGGTGGAGCTCCCTATGGAGCCACGAAACGTGTGAGGGGTGTGCCGAAATGGGTGTGGGTGACGCATGCGGGCGCGGGCACTGGGGCCTTCGGTGGAGCTCCCTATGGAGCCACGAAACGTGTGAGGGGTGTGCCGAAATGGGTGTGGGTGACGCATGCGGGCGCGGGCACTGGGGCCTTCGGTGGAGCTCCCTATGGAGCCACGAAACGTGTGAGGGGTGTGCCGAAATGGGTGTGGGTGACGCATGCGGGCGCGGGCACTGGGGCCTTCGGTGGAGCTCCCTATGGAGCCACGAAACGTGTGAGGGGTGTGCCGAAATGGGTGTGGGTGACGCATGCGGGCGCGGGCACTGGGGCCTTCGGTGGAGCTCCCTATGGAGCCACGAAACGTGTGAGGGGTGTGCCGAAATGGGTGTGGGTGACGCATGCGGGCGCGGGCACTGGGGCCTTCGGTGGAGCTCCCGATGGAGCCACGAAACAGTGTACTGGGTGGGTGAAGAGGAGAGGAGAAGAGGAGAGGAGAGGAGAGGAGAGGAATGATGATGATAATGATGATGATAATGATGATGATGACGACGATGATGATGATGACGATGATGATGGTGATGATGATGATGATGATGATGGCAGGAGGGAGGGGGCAGCGGGAGGAGGAGGAGTGAACGCGGGGCGCTGTCTCTTCAAACCGAGGACCCAACACCACAGGATGGTTGGGAAAAAACCCTTACCGAGCTCTCCAGAATCAGATAGAGCAGTTTAGGAGACACTCATTCTACAGCCATCTAGAACACTGTGGGGAATCCAGTCGACCCGCTGGCACCCCCTAGGACGGTTTCTCAACTCTCTGACCCTCGTATCTAAAGCCACCGAACGAGCCTATGAGCACTAAAGCGCTTCTAGACCCGTTTAAGAACCCGCTTAGAGGATGCTAGAGCCGTCTGGAGAATACAACCTTTCAGCTAGAGCTCTCTAGAGCCTTCGAATGCACACATCTGCTTTCTCGACCAGTCCAGATCATCCCCGGGCATCCCATAATCCTCTGGAATCGTCCAAAACATTGTCTAGAGCTGCCCACCACAGCCCCAGAGGGGTGTAAACGAAACGCGCCGCCCTGCTCCGGAGGGTGTAGCGAAGGTGGAAGGAGGAAGAGGAGGAGGAGGAGGGTCGAGAGGCGTTAGTCACAAAACTAGTTGTGAACGCCGCGTCCACAATTTACTTTGTGACTAGCGCCAGAAGAGGAGAAGGGAGGAGGAGGAGGAGGAGGAGGAGGAGGAGGAGGAGGACGAGCGAGAGGCGTAAATCAGCAGTTTTCTGACCAACGGAGCAGGAGTTGGGGTACCCTGGGAGACGCGAGTCTTCACTAGCGCCGAACGAGGGCGCGGGCGTGACCAACGGAGGAGGAGGAGGACGAGGGGCGAAAGGCGTTAGTCACAAATTTAAGTGTGAACGCCACGCTGACAACTAGTTCTCTGACTTACCGCCTTGACACCACGTTGGCAACTAGTTTTTGACGCCACGTTGACACTAGTGTTGACGCCGCGATGGTAGTAGTGGTGTGTGGGGGCGGGGGGGGAATTCCCCCCCTTCCCCCCCACACGCACACACAGACACACACGCACACACAAAACAAAACAAACAAAACATCACCGCCATCACAACCACCACCACCACCACTCTAACCGTTACCGCCACCACCGCCACTTGAATGGGACTTGGCTGCGATGGACCGCTTAGGCACTGCAGCGCGCCCAATGGGGCCCTAAGGATTCCTACGGGCTTTCAAATGGAAACCACAAGTCTTTCCTCAGGACATGCGAGGCTTCCTTGAGGAAGCCGGAGGGTTTCGAACGTAATCCGATAGCTTTCGTAAAGCTCCGTCACGACTTCCGAAGGAAGCTGAAGACATGGCGTAATGAAAAATTGATTTTCGCAGGGGGGCGACTCGACCCTTGAACCACAGTATCGTATGAAACCGAATAGAAAATTGGAGTGCGGGAGGAGAGAGAGAGCGGCCATCTCCTGTGACTTTGAGGAGCAAGCCTGCCCGAAGCCCTTAGGCTCCCCCGCCCTTGAGCCCCCCCGTCTAACTCAGAGGAGTCGCCCTCGCCCAGAGAGCCCTTCAGCTCCCCCGCCTCACTCTGAGTCGTCCTCGCTCAGCTCCTGGGCGCCTTGACCCTTCTTCTTGCTCCACATTTTCTGGGCGACAAAGCCGACGGCACCGCCAATGCCCAATCCGATGACCAGGGTGGCAAGCGACAGGCCCGAGACCGGCGAGGCCGCCTGCATGCTCGCGGGGCCGAGGAACGACCTCAATGCGCGCGGGAGAGGAGGGAGAGGAGGGAGAGAAGGCAGAGGAGGGATCGCGGGGCCTGCATGCTCGCGGGGCTCGCTTGCGCGTACTGGTGGTGCAAGCATCACGCTACCGTCTGATGACACGTTTCGTTCTAGACTGCCAACTGCTGGCTGTTCTGTTGGAGTTGATGGTTTCCCAATGCATCGTCGGCCAACGTGCCATTGGCACGGTGTGGAATGTCCTCACCTCAGCCCCCTCAGGGTCCTCATCACTGGATGTCGTAGCGCGTAAATAGCGATTCCAATCCCCAGACCCAGGATTGCTATCATGTCTAAGCGCGTTTCTGGACGCTTCAGGAGCTCTTCGCGTGACTTTCCCAGGAGGCCTGGGGAGCGCGGCTGGGTGTCCGCACTTCCACGTGTCATAAGATGGTGCCCTCTGCTGAAGACCTCCGAAAGGCCGCCCTGAGACCCTTCAGAAGCTTCACAGGAGCTCCCGAGAGCTCCTAGAGGCCTCGCGTCAACGACCCGGACTCTGGCGGGGTGGGCCGACACCACCAGACATCCACATGCACTCTGTTCGGGGAGACGTGAGACTCGGGTTCGGGGGACTCGGGTTGGCCTGGCGGGGTCATCAGTGAAAATGACGCGACCCAAATCTGAGATTTGACGCGAGCTCCCGCTGCGAACCTCCCACGAAAGCCTGACCGGCAAAATCCAGGACGCGCTCGTCAAAAAACATCGAAAAACCCGAAATCCGGCTTACTCGAGTCTTACGATTCCCCGATCTGCACACACAGAGGCACATGGTGGTGAAAAGGATCCGCAACTATCCCCCCATGGCACGCTTGGGCATGCCGGAATGCCGGTATGTTGACCGGCCGATTCTTTCTTTGGAAGGCGACCACCAGCCCGCCGCAACCGCTCCCGCTCCCCCCTGCCTCTCGTGCCCTAGAGCTCTCATCGCCACCAAGCTCACGGCCAGGAGCCCCCCCCAAGACAGCCCCAACAAGAAGGCCCGAAGATGGCGACGGTACTCTTGCGGATGGCCTCCATCTGCTCTAGTCGCTGCGAGAGAAAGCAAGGTAGTCTCAAGGAAGGCCTCCACGATGCACCCCCGGGGGGGAGGGCTCCTGGTATTAGGGGGCAAACAATCCACCCTCATAATGACCACCCCGACCAAGGAGGCGGTTTAGTAAACGCGCCCATAGAAGGAATCAAACAGGGCAAGGCTGTTTAGTAAACGCCCAGGGCCGTTTAGTAAACGCCAATTGTCCGGTCCGGGTGGTTTTTCCTCTCTTGAGGTATGGCCCAGGCAGCGGAACGAAACACCTGAGCGGTGTCTTTGGCCTGAAAGGTTTTCCAGCACACGATGGCTTCCCCTGAGCCAGGAAGGCCCCGTACAGCTTTGAATATGCCCGAAGGCGGCTTCAAGAAGGCCCGACGACCGAGAACTCCCGAGGCTGCCTCAACATGGCTGCACGGTCCCGCTAAGCGAACCAAGACATCTAGAGTAAACATCCGCTGGGTCCGAAGATTCCCCAGCACTCCCCAAAGAAGCCCCCCCCCTCTACGTTGGCACTGGGACGCCAAGCGCATTGACCCTGCAAATAAGAGGCGTTTCACTTCACGGGTGTGAGCTGACTTTGCTTGCCAAGGCTGTGACCGAAGACGTCATCAGGACGGCTTTGGGGGGCCCCAGGTCGGCCCCAGACAGCTCCAGTAATCCACCAACGCTGGCCAAGCCAGCCTTGAGAGGGCCTACAGACGGCTTCCAGTGAGAGAGCTTCAACGTGCCACCAAGACGGCCCCAGACGGAGAGAGGACCCCTTAAGATGGTCTCAGACCGCCTCAAAACAGCTCCGAGGCGGCCAACGGATCCGTCCAGATAGACCCTCTTTGGGACTGGTCCGTAAATTCATCGCGCCCAAGACTGCCCCAGAGCGTCAGAGTCTTCAGAAGCCTCGGAGAACTATGGTAGGTCTTGGTGAGGCTATCGTTACACCCAGCACTTGAAGAGACTAATGTAAACCCACCTCGCCCCAAGCAGCCGGGGAGCGTCCAGCGGGCCCGCAGAGGCCTTAAGGTGGCAAGCCACAAAACGTTGTAGGCGTGACCGGCAGTGGTTCTGAGGCTGCCTCGGCTAAGCACTGGCACGGTGGCGGGGGTTGCCACACATAATTTGATTTTCTTAAGTAGTGAGTGGCCTGATACCGCTGTTGTCCTCGTGGATGCAGATGATTGTGCTGACTTTGCGCGCGCACTCGAAAGCACTGAGGTTGCCCTTTCCCTCGCCGATGGGGCAACCTACCTCGTAAGTCCCGGCTAGCACACCGTAAGTGGCGCGATCTGAGCTGTAGCCGATCTGCACACCGTGCTTCCACATCTGGGTGCTGCCGCCGCCATCCAGATTGATCGCCTCGACGGCACCGAAACTGATCATCTTATCGGCCAGCTCATTCATTGTCGCGCCCCAAGACGGGGCGCCCGTGTGACCATCATACTGGAGGAGGATGAGCCCACCATCCTTGTCCCAACCGATAGTGGTTCGCCCAGACGTCATTTCTTTATACTCGTCCCCGCTCGAGCCCGCAGCGGTATAGGCCTCCTCCCACCCGGCATCCACGTTGTTTGATCCGTTACGCACGATCCAGCCAAGTCCACCCACCAAGTGCTCAAAAATCCCAGTCTCTACGGTCTCTGGCGAAATGTAACCAATGACGAAGCTACCGTTCTTGAGGACTCCGAAATTCACGTTGGTGGTATTCATGGGCTCAGTGTAATGGATCTTGCCGTCACTCACGACGTTGCCAATGCACTGGAACGTGTCGATCAAATTGTAATACCCGGCGTCAGTGGCCAAGATACAACTAGGATTGTACAACCTCGCTGTGTCTGGCACGTAAGCAATTGTTCCACAACCGCCAGGAAGTGGGGGCACCACCGCCACGCGGCCGAGAGGGTTGGAAACCTTCACCAAGTGCCCATTTACGTGCGCATGAGAATCGTGGTCTTTCGAAGTGGATGATGTGAATGCCGTCTGGTGGATTGACATGTCAATCTCCGAGCCGCCGGAAGCCATAGGCGCCGTGACCATGACCGTCTCCGTAGGGGGACCTGCCTGGGCAGGCCATGCGTAGGCGACAGCAAGGACAACGGCCCGCATATCCGCTGGTCCCTTGAGGGGGGTGATGGCCAGCGCTGGGCAGCAAGCCTTCGGAGAAGAGGGCCTTGAACCACATTTCCAGAAACGAAGACGACGGCAACAGTGATGACGGTCGTGAAGAGAAGGGTTAGAGAAGGATAAAGCTGGTGAGAAGCTGGCAATCAATGAACTAAAAATGAACTGTGCTCGCGATCACACTAGCAGGGGCAGCACATATAATATCTAACTCCAGTGCGACCTTATATGAAAGGCAACCCTCGCGCAAAATGCAGCGGATGGAATGCAACGCTCGGCCGAAATGCCCAAACAAACCCCACAGGACCAATGGAATACCTCTCACACAAGCTTAACCAACCGAACCGGATGCCATGAGCACGAAATACTTCTCGTACAATTCACTAGCTTAGCCCAGACAATCATCCACCACTGCCCCCCTGGCAACATCGTGCGTGCCACAATGGCTATGCTGCCCGGTTGGGGGCTCGGTGTGTGTTGCCCCCCCCCCCTCCCAAGGCCGCGCCGCAACACTATGGCGGTGAAAACTGAAAATGGTAAGCGCGCCGCGGCGCGGGCGCGCACTTTTCAGATCCCCCAACGGCGCTTCGCGAAAGGATCCGAATACTTGCGGACAAAAAAATTGACTACAGAAGAGTCCCAAATAAAAAAGGGCGACGGGGAAACGGGGATAGACTGACCCAGGTCAATGCAAACTCGGATCAGTCAGACTTTGCAGGATCCTGCGCCCAAGCTCGGGTCAATGCACCCCTGGCTCTGCAGGGTCCTGCAAGATTCTGCGCTCTGGCTGATTAAGCCCTTTTTGTATTGACCTCCGTCTCCTGAGCCCCGAGGGAGCCCGAGGACGCCGGGTCTGGCAACCGTTTCGCTTGAGACTTCCCGGCGGTCTACTCAGGAATCGAGCTCTCGCCTTCAATGCTGGCTACATTTCAGGTCCAGACGGCCGCGATCCCTGGTAAAACGCGCACCGACGTGCACATGGCAATGCGCTCACCCCTGCCCCTGCACGTTCTCACTAGCCGACCTCCTGCTCATCCACCCGCCTCTTCACCCTTGCTGCTGTTAGGGTTAGGGTGCTCTGCCAGGGTAGTTCGAAGCGTGTGCGAGTGCGTGCGCATGTGTGCTGTCTGTCAGAAGAATGTGAATCGCGAGCTGCGGGAACCGCTTTCAATGGCAAGCACGAATGGTGTGAGCACCGCGGCGAAACCAATTCGGCATCGTTCGCCGCACCCCACCAGCCCTGCCACGCTTGGCCCCCGCCGCGCATCACCCCTCCAGGGCTCCGAACGGGCCCCACCCCCGACCCGCTGTCTCCACCAAGCCCCACCGACACCCCTGGCGATGAGGAGAACGGCAAGAAGAAGCTGGGCGAGGATGATGAGATTTTGAGTGCTGGGACGCTGAGGAAGAGACAGACCACAGCAAGAATGAATGCCACCAGGTCTCTGGGCGGAAGTGGTGTAGACTGTTTCCTCTTTAAACGCCCTTCTTCCCCTCTGGGGAGGAGTTTACTCCACCCCTACTTCCCCCTAGGCTGTCTTGGGGTGGTTCTTGTGCCGTCTTGGACTCCTCTTGGGCATCTTGCGGGCCGGTTTGGGGCAATATTGTGGGCCTCGTGGGCCGTCTTCGAGTGTCCGGCGTCCGAAAAAACGGGAACGCTGAACTCATTCCCAAACCAATAACAAATCAAGAATTTGGCATCACTGGGCCTCTCAGAACCTTTTTTTGAGCGTTCTTGGGGCTTCCTGAGGGTCTCTGAAACCGTCTTGGGGCCATCTTGGCTTTGGAGCGCGCTTGGGCTGTTGGTACCCTCTTGAACGTTTCTCAGGACTCGCTTCGTCTGTCTTCGGGCCTCTTTGGTTTCTGAAGAAGTCACGCGGTGAACCCCAGGAGCGCGCAGGAGCTCTCAGGAGATCTGAGAACGGGGCCCCTCCCCCCCTCATCTCAGGTATTATTCGGGGAACAGGCAATGACATAAAGATACCAACTCGGAGATCCGCGCAGATTTCTCGGGTCGGTGCTGGCTGGCGCGCAGAGCGCGCCAGGTGCTGCGCCGGAGGCGCCACCAGGGGGCCCAAGAGCCGATCCGAGGAATCCGCGCAGACCTCATCGATCTGTCTTCAAGGGGACTTCTCGGTCTGCCCTCAAGGCATCTTGGGGCGTGCCCCAAGCAGACCGACGCGTTGGCCTGACGTTTCCTCCTCCTCCTCCTCATCCTCCTCCTCCTCCTCATCACCGCCATCATCACCAGCAGCAGCATCATCATCTCGCCATCGCTCGGACGTCCATTCCCCATGCATGCTTAGGCTTGATTCGTGTTTTTTTCCGAAAGATGACCCAACATGCTCCCCCAAGGTCCTTGCCATATGAATTTGAAACGTCCGAGCGGTGTTAAGTCCTCCTCCACATCCTCCTCCTCCTCATCATCATCAGCATCGTCACCATCACCATCACCATCACCATCATCATCATCATCATCATCATCATCAGCAGCAGCAGCATCATCATCATCCTCAACAACACAATCATGATCAGCACCATCATCATCATCATCATCATCATCATCATCATCATCATCATCATCATCATCATCATCATCATCATCATCATCATCATTATCAACAATATCATCATCACCAGCATCATCATCAACATGATCATCACCATCAGCAACAGCATCACCAGCATCGTCATCACATAATCACAATCATACTCATCATCATCATCATCATCTTCATCATCATCACCATAACCACATCGTCATCATCGTCATTGTCATCGTCATCGTCGTCCTCTTCCTCCTCCTCATACTCCTCCTCATCCTTACCATCCCTCTCATCATCATCATCATCAGCAGCAGCAGCATCAGCATCATCATCGTCAGCATCCGCATCCGCATCCGCATCCGCATCAGCATCATCGTCAGCATCATCATCAGCACCAGCACCAGCACCAGCACCAGCACCAGCATCAGCATCAGCATCAGCATCAGCATCAGCATCATCAGCATCGTCAGCATCATCAGCATCATCAGCATCATCAGCATCAGCATCAGCATCAGCATCAGCATCAGCATCAGCATCAGCATCAGCAGCATCATCATCATCATCATCATCATCATCATCATCATCATCATCATCATCATCATCATCATCATCATCGTGGGCGCAGCAGTAGCGGCAGCACGGCTGTGGACTTGGCACACCCATTGTCACGGCACGGTGGCTGATCTTCCGGCATCTTCAGGGGTCTGGGTGCCGTCTGGACACATTTGCAGGATTATCTCACCTTCAGGCGAGCAGCTGAGAGGAGTCTGGGTCCCACCTGGCCTCCTCGCATTTGCAAAAAGGATCTTGAGTTTCGGGGAGGTGGAAGCAGAGGAGGGAGACAGCCAAACATCTCGCATGCATCTACGCTTCGGCAAGCGGGGGTCGGCGGACCTGATCTGCTTGGAGCAAGTTGTCCCTCGACAAGGGAGTTGGAGGTGGGACCCCGACGAGAGGGCGTCATGCCTGGATTCCGAAAAGTGCGGGCACTGGCACGTGCTCATGCTGAGCTCTGGCCTCCAGAGCCCGGTTCCCAAACGACTGGGCCTGGGCCAGCGGAAGCCTAGAGGAGGCGAGCGCCTCAGAATGGACGGGCCTCCTGAAGCCCTTCGCCAGAGGATCCACCGGCACCCCTGCTTGGAGGAGGAGGTCAGGAGGAGGGGGAGCAGGAGGAGGAAGGGGCGGCGGAGGGAGCAGGAGGAGGAGAGGAGAGGAGACCATGGAGCAGCAGGATGCAGTTTGGGAGCTCGTGTACCGAAGGGCGTTCGTTGCGCCTGGGTTGTGGGACGGGGCCTCGTGGGATCCTGTCGGGGTCTCCTGGGAAGGGGGGGAGACGCGTGCCGCTCTCTGTCGGCCAGAGGCCGTCCGCGGGAAGGCGAATGACGGTAGCCGCCGCTCTCGCGACCGCAGGCGTGTCCTGCTTGGTCGCGGACGCGAGCCATGCCTCAAACCGCCCAAGTTGCTGGGGAGCGGATTTGGGCGGATTGCTCTGCCACCCCCCCTCCTGCGCCCTCCTCCGCCTCAACCATCTGGGCTCGCAAATGCCTGCACGCATTATGTCGCCACCTTCGTTCCATGCCCACTCCCCGGTCTCAGTCCCGTGTGCGGCACGGCGTTCGCAAAGGCCGATGCCCGCGTTCTTGTTGCTAAGGCGCAGACGGGGGCGTTGGGTGGAGCAAACATGGAAAATGCGATCGCATGGGTGCAGTTCGTGGCATCGGTGCACGACTCCCCGGCGGATTCGCACCCGTTGCTGTTCTTCACTGGCACGGCGCGGGCGCTGGCGGAGACGGTCGGTTAGACTGACCCCACGGACTACAGCGACGGGCACATACCACATGCACGACTTCGTGATCAGCGGCGCGAAGTCTGCCGCAACTCCGCCTGCAGAGAACCCCAGCGAGCAGTGAAAGGGCTTCGCCATCCTGCCCGCCCACGTTGGCTTGGCGCTGAAAGTTTAGACGAAGGCACGTGGCGCCGTTGAACTTGCCCGCCGCCAGCAGCCCGGCAGACAGGACCGCGCAGGCAATCGCCAAGTGGGCGGGGTTCGGAAAGCCAAGGCGGAGGAGGCAAACCGTGGCATCCTCAATTTCGACCTATAGGCGCGGAAGTATGAAGTCGGGTTGCAGCGCATCCAATTAGAATTGCTCCCGGACGAAGAGGCGAATGGATCATTTGTCGTCGGCTATTGCGAAGAATTACAGCAGCAAGTGGGTCGAATCCTCTGAGGGTGAGGACTTGCTCGTGTACTCCTCCAGGAATATTCGAAAACACCCAAGCTCGAAATCTTCGTCGGCGACGGCACCATCGACGAGCAGATGAGGGACACTCGGGACGCCAAGCCTTGGGCCACGCGCGCGACTGGGCGCTCAAGATGGTTCCGTCGAATG